CGTTTTAATGTATTCAGCATTCCAGCTATGAAGTTTTGTAGAAATTCTGTTGTTGCATATTTCATGGGGCAATATTTTGTTACCTGCTTATGAGATGGTAACAAATTTTACTGGTTACAAAAGTGCGCAGTATGCGAAAACGGTTTAAAAAAGGACAGGAACTTTATTTTTGGGTAAAAAAAATTACCAACGCAGAATGGGCTTGTTAATGTACGATTTTTTGTGTTTGTCGCTTTTGATGATAGTAAACAAAATTTAATTTACCAACGCAGAATAGGTCTGTATGTATACGCTCACTTATACATGTTTCGTAGCTTCGCAATTATCAATAATGCAAAGTAATTAAATTTTTTGAATTCGTATACATGTTGCTCGTAGTATCTAGAGTCAACTGTAAACAAATCGTAAGCGATCGGTTTACAAAAATTTTAAAATTGATGACCGAAGCTGGTGAATGCAACCATGTTGCCAAATTACATTTGTTGTAAAACCACTTATGTATGTGATTTTAGAAGTTTTGAGTTTACATCAAAATATCCGGGGCCATTTGTGCAAAAAATGCATGTTTATTTTGTTTTTTATTAAAATAAAATCTTAAACAACTAATTAATATCTTAAAAGTTGGAAAACCACTGCGATTTAGAAGTTTACAGAATATATGTCTTAACTCGAGATAAGTTATTTTTGCAAACGTCCTCAAATTTTACTGCTGAGTTGCAACTTTTCATTTGACTGGCTGTGATTTCTTCAATTTTACATTTTAGAATTTTTGTGGCCATCGCGCAGAAGTTGCGCTTGTGGGCGATGAGTTTGCGGGGAGAAGTATGGTCATTGAATTATGAATGAATGAGTTTGACCTTGAAGAATATGCGCATGCGTTTATGAATGAATTTGTTATTGTTGTATTCTAGTGGCATATGCGTATATGTACATACATATGTACGTATATACGTATATTTGCATGAATGTAACTAGAAACATACACATGTTAGGATGAAAATCGCAAGAGTACATTTGTACAAATTGATGTAAATTATTTATTGATTATAAATGTACATTTGGTTGATATAAAAAGGGTAATTTCATCCATAAATTAGAACTTTACAATTTCCATACTAAAGAGGAAGCTTATAAAGGTCTTGCATCGCGCATGTATTTAATTTATTTATATTTGTTTAAAATTATAAAATAAAGTAAATCTATGCACATGCGCATGCAAATTGTTAAATGCCGTCAGTAAATAAACGAAAAGAGCCGCGGCCATGTTTTTTTTCATTTCATTTTATTATTTCTATCATCGGTCACTTTTTCTTAACGTTCTTTATCGCCGCGAAACCATATGTGCGGCGAATTCGTTTACGAAAATGGATGTTAAAACGGACGCGAACTCCTCATCTCAACCCATGATTCAATAATACAAGGTTAGATAATTATTGACAGCTGCGGTTTGACACTCCCTTACAAAAGGTTGCATTTACGAAGGACGGAGAAAAGGGGAGGAATGAAATCTCTTGGTGCGAAAATGGTAGTAGAAAAGTACGCAAAGTAGGCAATTAGTAGTGAAATTCCTTTTGTAAATTCTAATGTTTTTGCAGGAAATCTGGCATTTTAAACGAAATTTTGAACGTAATATTGATGTATCTATGTAAATTACGTAATTTATGTGCTATTTAGCTGTATAAAAAATGCAAAATGACTCAAAATTAAAATAACACTACTATGAGATTGATGTAAACATCCCATTTAAAAACAGTTTATGTTTTCATCAGTTAAATATGCTTCATATGCATATACAAATAAACATATTGCACAAACGCTCATACTTCTATATCACACCAAAGCTACACTGTTTCCATGTAAATGTGCAAAGAAGCAACACGGTGCCACTGCTAAGGGAGCGGTGCGAGAGAGACAACTGTCAGTTTATCGAACCTTGTATTATTGAATCATGATCTCAACCTTTCAGACCTCACTCGCCGACTTTAGCGAGTTGTCGCTTCTTATACATTTACGTTCTTTGGTTAAACTGCTTCAAATAACAAATTGACTGCAAAAATGCATCAGCATCTTATCCATTGTGAATGACTTTATGAACTATTGCAAATGACTACTTGACAAAAGAAGAAGAATCAAAAAAGCGCTGTCATAATTTTGTTGGTCATCTTATTCGCCAAACTGTTTGTAATTCCGTAGTTAATTCATACTAATCACTGCGGCCTTAATTAGAAAAACACCTAAAAAATGAACATGGAACTTGTGCGTGATGTGCCCAAGGGTGGCTTCAATTTCGACAACCGCAAGAGGTAAGAAATATTTTGCCATTAACAACAGTCGCAATGCTCATGCTTTTCTTCTGGCAGAAATGAAATGCTGTTTAGTTCGGGCTTCCAGCAGCCCAAGACTGTAAAAACCGGCACAACCATTGCAGGTATCACATTCAAAGATGGTGTAATCTTAGGAGCTGATACCCGTGCTACCGAGGGCCCGATAGTGTCGGACAAAAACTGTTCAAAAATTCATTACCTCGCTAAAAATATGTAGTAAGTACGGAAATTGGCCGGTTCTTCTTGCTCAAATTCTTTTCCCAAATATTTATGTACATTAAAATTTAATTATCATCATACACTCAGCTGCTGTGGTGCTGGTACCGCTGCCGATACTGAAATGACAAC